TGGGGTGTGACAGCAGTAAGGTGTTTCCCTTGGGTGACCAGCAGTGCCTGCTAATGCTGCCTTCTAAGCGGAAGGGGAGGGGGTAGAAAAACTCGACTTCAAAAATAACACTCCACCATGCCCCACGGTCTGCCGGGCCGACGGTGTTGGTTCATTTGTCGTTTCCTTTGAACCATCCGACCCCCAAAATACAAAAGTTCAAAACAATCATACTCAAAAGGCTTCGTATGACAGGCCTCAAGCAGATGTCCGATGGGCTCTATGGTCACACAAATCTCTTTCAGGTACCTTAAGAAGAAATAGGCTTCTACGGTGTGGGCAGCTGGGAAGTGTCAACCGCCCTCACAACTCTGTCAGCACTCAAGTTTCTTTAGACTTCTATCCATCTCCTCCATCATTATCTTCTAATCTTCCTTCACATCTCTCAACTAACAATACTAAATCATCTTCAATTTCTCCTACCTCTGTAGCCTTCGACAGCGATCTGAGTCCACAGAAAATCATCCCTAGTCTCTTTAAACCACGCTCTGAATTACATTTTGGAGCCTTCAATGTCCGTACCCTCTGTCTAATTGGTCAACAGGCTTCATTGGCAAAGACTCTAGCAACTTGGGCCATGGATGTGTGCTGTGTTTGTGAGACACGCATACAGGACCCAAGCCTGGTTATTCACCTGACCTCTCCTGACCAATCTGGTGAATCCACGAAATTCACCCTTCGAGTTTCTGGAGATTCGATGGCTAGCTCTCGTGGTCTTGCAGGTGTAGGTATAGCATTAAGCACTAGGGCAGAAAACTCACTACTAGACTGGATCCCAGTTGATAGTTGCCTCTGCGCTATGATACTGAACGGCACAGTGAGAACTAAAAAGAATAGTGAGACTCCTCGTTGTCTCTTTGTAATCTCTGCTTGCGCACCCACTGATTGCAGCTCGGATGAAGTGAAGGACGATTTCTACCATAAACTGTCTAACCTCCTCTCGAAAGCCAAACGTTCGGACGTGGTTGTTGTTGCAGGTGACTTCAATACAGAGGTGGGTATCCTGAGTAAGGCAGAAAGACACTTGACTTCGGTGGCACTTTCGGAATCCCAGCTGAACGTACAGATAACGGTGATGGCCTATTACAACTATGCTCAGATAACCGCCTATTTTTAGCCAGCACCAATTCCAGACATAAAGAAAGACACTGTCTGACGTGGCGTCCACCGAGCTCAACTCAGCGATGGACACATAAAGCACATTGCCATTAGTCATCGCTGAAGAGGATCGGTGAAAGAGTGCCGTTGCTTCTGGAGTACGTATTTGGACAGCGATCATGCGTTAGTCCGAGTGCGTATATGCCTGCGTCTCAATGGATATAGGAAACATTTGGCAACAAGGGCACTACGAGTGCTGCTGGACAACGAAAACACCAAAGCCGTGTTCAGTGAGAAGTTGGCTAGGCAGTTATCGGAACAGAAGACTGTCACTCATCCAGAAGAAGCTTGGTGCCATCTTCAGTCTGCTGTGAAAGCAGCACTGAATACTGTAACCGACTCCAAAATAGTGGCTAAAAAGAGCCAGTGGATATCATCAGCTTTTTCCTGACTGATGTATGCACGTGAACGCCTCCCTGCAGGCTCTGAGTACAATGAAGAGCGAACACAACTTAAAAGTAGATTGAGAAAAAGTGTATGCAACGATCGCGAACAATGGTGGCAGCGAAGGCTAAAGAGATGGTGGCGGCGGCGGTGGCGATCAGTAATAGTAGACAGTTATTTAGACTTATTAAGGAGACTGGGAAGAAAAGGTCAACAACAGTTAGTGAGGCTATAGGGGAGAAGGACGGATTGCGATCCACTCGCAGGGGAGACGACTGGAACGATGGGCAGAACACTTTGAGGAATAGTTTAACTGACCACCAGCCACGATTGTGTTGCCCGCTATCCAGTCGGATCCTGAATGGGACATAGAGATAGGTCCCCGAACACTGGAAGAAGTTGAGAAAGCGGTAGGCAACGTGAAACGGTGAAGGGTGGCAGGACCAGACGGACTACCTTCTGAGGTATACAAGGATGGTGGTAGAGTGCTCTTAGTCAGGTTAACGGAAGTGTTAGCTATTATATGGGAATCAAATACGATCCCCTCTGACTGGTGTAAGTCACTGATTATCCCAGTCTTCAAGAAAGGTGAGAAGTCCTCTTGTGATAACCACAGAGGAATCAGCCTGACGAACATAGTATCTAAGATTGTAGGTTGTATAATTCTTCGACGCCTGATTGGAGCTCGGTAACAGCAAGCGGGAGGAAACCAGGTAGGATTTACACCCGACCGTGGGTGTATCAACCAAATATTCACACGGTGCCAGGTTCTGGAACAAAGGCGTGCTTACAGACTCCCGACAGTAGCTGTATTTCTCGACTTGAAAGCGGCATTTGACTCCGTTGATCGAGAAGTCTTATGGCAGTGTCTGTCACTGAAAGGCGAGCCGAGTGAAAGCTCTCTAGTCGAACACTTGTGGGCATGTTAGAGCCTACGGTGAGTTGTCCAGGGAGTTATGCTCATCGAGTGGTGTCCATCAAGGATGCCCACTATCTCCATTCTTATTCAATTCCATCATAGATATTGTTATGGAGGTCTCCCTCTCGTCACCAGGTTACATAGACGTTGACCTAATAACAGGAGAATTTTTGTTAGACCTAGAATATGGAGATGACATAGTCCTGTTAGTTGTGTGAAGACGCTGAGAAGATGCAGAGTCTTGTGAACACTTTGGTTGGGAACTTGAGAATGTTTGGGATGCGTTTCTCACCACCCGAATGGAAACTTTTGCTCCAGGACTGGTGTTGAGCGATGCCACGGCTAAGAATGGAGAGTGTAGTGATTGAGTGTGTTGACCACTTCACTTACCTGGGAAGTGGGATCAGCTCTGTCCTTCCCTGGTGGGTCAGTGGCCGATGAAATCTCTGCAGGGATACAAAGGGCTCGATTGGCTTTTGTCAACTTACGCGACCTATGGCGCCACTGTGATATCCGATTGTCTACTGAAGTGTTTGACTGTTGATTTGAGGCATGTGTGGTGATGCAGACTAGGTGGTTGGAGTGTGGGGGAAGAGAGGAACCAGTGGTTGGAGACTGACTGTAGGTGATCACATGGCTGAGAATGGATGTCAGTGGCTCAGATGTATGCATACATTGTCTTCAGCCTATCGACACTATACCGAATATTACCATTTTCTCACTCTTCGTTTATCTCTTTCAGTACTTTATATTTCTTTTGACTGAGTTTTCTTATCTTCGTCTTCCACTTCCCTACCTTTGTACTTGATGTAGTGATGTGAGGTGTGGTGGCAACTCGGACCGTAACGTAGTAATGCCTGTTCCCGTGTTGATATTGATTGATTGATGATCAAATGACAAAATCCTGCGGGACACCAAACAACTTTGATCTCTATCCTTAACATGCAACTACTCTCACTAATATAACGTTCATGTCAACTGTTTTGCAGTAAGAATCTGTAAACTGTGTTTCTTCCTTCCAGACGAGATGATATCGACTTCATCACTGCATGTCCTCGAATTGAAGTGGAAAATCCACCTTAGAATTAGTATGACTTACTCAAAAACGTTCTCGCTCTGTGATTAACCTTCTACGAACATAAGTTATGGTAATTAACTGTTACCAATAGTCTTTTTGTCAAAGAAGTCTCTTTCACCTACCTGGACAGCATCGTTTCAACTACAGGTGATGGTGGTGGCACAGATAAGGATGTCAAAGCCAGCATCGGAAAGACAGCAAGGGGCTTCCTCCATCTATCTGAAATCTGTGTGCAGATCTACTGCACTGCACTGCACTCAGCATAAAGCGTGAACAAGATGTGGATTTTCAACACTTATTCAGTCAAGTAAGCCAGTGCTTCTATGTGATGGTTGAGAGACTTGGCGCGTTACGAAAGGCATTTCCAACAAACTACAGACATACATGAACAGCTGCCGCCTATGCTCCGTACTGACACTAAAGATCACATCAGATGGCCAGAAAGAATAAGCAAGAAGGAACTCTGGCCTGGCAACCAACGAAGCAAGAATCTATTGCCCAACAAGTATGCACTAGGAGAAGGTGGAGATGGATTAGATTGGATACACACTGAGGAGGTTTGGAGTTAAATTAGGCCAGGCCCTCGGGTGGAACCCGCATGAGAAACGAAGAGTTGGGTGTCTTAAGGTTATATGAAGGAGATGGTGTGAGGAAGGAATGAAAAGTTGTGGGCAGGGTGGAGCCACGTTGATAAGACTGGAGAGAAGAGATTGAAACGGTGACGTGCTACTGAAGCCGTATGTTCCACTAGGAACCCAAAGTACAAATAATAATAATAATTATGATAATAGTCGTTTTTACATACTGAGAATCAAATGAGGACCCAAACTCCATACTCAAAATCCAATGTGGGGCGATGGAGAGTGGGTGGTAGGGGTCCGCGGGACAAGAGAAGGCAGTGGTTGGAGAGTGACTGTAGGTGATATGGCAGAGAACCGATGTCAGTGGCGGAGATGTATACGCATACGCACATCATCCTCATGTTAACAGTATACCGAATATCACCATTTTGTCATGCTTCTGTTCTCAATTTTAGTGTTCAATATTTTTTTTTGACTGATTTCTTTTTTCTTCATCTTCCACTTTACTGCTTTTTTGCTTGATGTACTGATATGGCCTGTGGCAAGTTGTATCGTTACGCAGTAATGCCTAGTCCTATGTTGGTTTGAATGAATTGATGATTGTTAAGGAATCTTATGTATCATCATTTATGTTAGATTTTTTTTACCTTCAAGTGTCTTTACTAAGAAGTCATTGATCATAATAACAAAAATATTTCCTTCACAATTCTTTTTCCAGATAGTTTTCTATGTAATTATTATTTGATTTGTGCTTATCTTCAGTGGTTTGGATTAGACACCGAGAAGATTCTTTTCTCCTAGAAGTTTGTATATATGCTGATATCGAAGAAGTTGGTGTATAATGACTGGAGAAGTGAGTTGCCAATTGATAATCTATATATGCATACCTTATCTACACTAGTCTGGTGAACTATTGCCTTTTGACTCACGTCAAGTGATTTGTGACCTACCGGAATATAGTATTCAACTAAAGCTGTTTATTCTTCAATTAAATGGTAGCCTCTTCATCTGGATAGGTGATGAAGAGAACAAATTGTCTGGTAATTATACTGCATAATCATAATTAACTCGTCTAGGTCTATCCGTCTGTCTACCGTCGAGAAGTGTAATATCTACTCAGCATCATAGCACTACAATCTATTCAGCAAACGGTGCATCAAGTAATCCATTCAGTGAATATGAAGAGAATTTATCGTGTAAAATATCAAAACGTTATAATTGCCCCGTATTTGTTAGTATCAGTTTACCTTATGAATTTGTTGCCTTGTGGAACAATGTGAATTTGACTACTGGGAATACATTTGGTCAAGAGGCTGAACGTCATCTGTTTAAAAATCTCCCTACTTTTATATCTTCAAGATAATTTTGTATACTATAACAATGTCTATTCATAAAATAGGCTTATTTTTTGCTCAAATATATACATTTACCTGAGTAAATAGCTTCATTTTTGTCTTGTTTAAATGGATCAGCCCGAATTTATCGGTTCTTTACGAAATCCCAGTATGGATGCTATACCTTTCTTAGGCATTTACAAACTTTTACCATCTGATTGTATTGCTCTGCTCTACAGCTGTAGAGTGTGACTTTGGAAGGTGGAAGATAATGGAGGGCTATAGGTTTCTACGGGTAGGTGTCTCTATAGCATGTGGTAGAACTATGGATTGAGTACTGGAGGTTGTGAACTTTCATCGACTGACGTGGCTTTGACGTGTGTCACTCATGCCCAGCCATGATCTCTCCCACTGCAAACTGCTAACTAAAGTACGATTAGGTTAGAAGGGAGCTAAAGGTAGTCAGATCAGAAATGACACCCGCTCATGAGGCCTTAGATGGTTGGTTTGGACAGCACACAAAGGCCTCGACTACCTACCGGTACTCCCCAAGGTCTTATTAGTCAGTATTAGGACACTCAGTTACAGCTCAAAACCGATCACACTGATGAAGATGCATTCACATTTTATCCTTGATTTCACTAATTTCCACTTCACTTGCTTGGGGAGTTGCATCAGCTCGAATGCGCTGGTTCCTGACTATGTCTCAGCTCACATACACGAGGCTCATTCGCCAACTTGCGCCATCTATCGTGCCAACTGACAAAATATTCGACTATATCTCCAAGAAAGCACGAGTATGCTGCACCGCAGTCCGTTCTGTCCGGCTATAAAGCTGTGAGACATGGCTGCTGAAAGTAGAAAACATGACGGGATTACGAAATTCTCGTCACAGATGTGTTCGTGGCATTGGTGGAATCACTGTGTCAGTAATGTTGAGGTCAGTCAGACGAAGGGTACTAGGCAAGTCAGTCAATAAGGCTGTGAACCTTAGTCGAAAGAGGTAGATTGAACATATACTGCGCTTGCTTAGCCACCACCTACTTCGACATGCAGTGCCGCTAGGGGAATTTGGATTAGGTTGGAAGAGGTTTCAGGGTGGTCAGACGTAGACGTGGCACCAGTCGATGAAGTCTCTGACTGTTGGTCTGAGACTTTTTGGGGAGATACCGACTGCCAAGTTGTGGTCCCCGAGATGATAGGAACTAGTGATTGAAGACTCTTGATGATGTAGCTGAAAATCGGCCAAAATGGCGCCGATTTGTTCACTTCTTGACATCTTCTGAACCTTGAGTATTAACAGTAACCTTTATCTTCAAATTATTTATTTTCTCACACCAATTTGATGTCTATTTGTATCTACTTGTTCTTTGTGTGCTACTTTGAAGTGTTCTCATTGTGATAACCATAGAGGAATCAACCTGGTGAACATAGTATCTAAACTTCTAGGTTCTGTAATTCTTCGACACCTGAGTGGAGCTTCTTTCGACTCCGTTGATCGCGAGGTCTTATGGCAATGTCTCTTACTGAAGGGCGTGCCGAGTGAGTACATCGCCTTATTGAAAGCTCTCTAGTCAAACACTTGTGAGCATGTTAGAGCCTACGGTGAGTTGTCCAGGGAGCTATGCTCATCGAGTGGTGTCCATCAAGGATGCCCACTGTCTCCATTCTTATTCAATTCCATCATAGATATTGTTATGGAGGTCTCCCTCTCGTCACCAGGTTACATAGACGTTGACCTAATAACAGGAGAATTTTTGTTAGACCTAGAATATGGAGCTGACATAGTCCTGTTAGTTGTGTGAAGACGCTGAGAAGATGCAGAGTCTTGTGAACACTTTGGTTGGGAACTTGAGAATGTTTGGGATGCGTTTCTCACCACCCGAATGGAAACTTTTGCTCCAGGACTGGTGTTGAGCGGTGCCACGGCTAAGAATGGAGAGTGTAGTGATTGAGTGTGTTGACCACTTCACTTACCTGGGAAGTGGGATCAGCTCTGTCCTTCCCTGGTGGGTCAGTGGCCGATGAAATCTCTGCAGGGATACAAAAGGGTCGATTGGCTTTTGTCAATTTACGCGACCTATGGCGCCACTGATATCCGATTGTCTACTGAGGGTCGCGTGTACTGCACGGGAGTCCGGTCTGTTCTACTGTATGACTGTGAAACATGGGTATTGAGTGTGGAAGACATGAGAAGGCTTCAAGTGTTTGACCACCGTTGCCTTTGTAGTATTGGCCGTATTCCGTTGTGTCACCATGTGAGTAATGCAGAAGTTAGTTGTAGAGTTTTAGGGAGTGGAGTTAAATGTGTTGATGAGGTTATGAGCCTTGATCGATTGAGATGTTTGGGACACGTGCTACGTATGCCCAGTCACCTATTGCCTGGTGACGGAATGTTGGTCGAAGTAGGTGGAGGCTAGAAAAAGGCTGGAGGTGGCCAGACTGAAACATGTCACCAATGTATGAAGTGTTTGACTGTTGATTTGAGGCATGTGTGGTGATGCAGACTAGGTGATTGGAGTGTGGGGGAAGAGAGGAACCAGTGGTTGGAGACTGACTGTAGGTGATCACATGGCTGAGAATGGATGTCAGTGGCTCAGATGTATGCATACATTGTCTTCAGCCTATCGACACTATACCGAATATTACCACTTTCTCATTCTTCGTTTATCTCTTTCAGTACTTTATATTTCTTTTGAGTGAATTTTCTTATCTTCATCCTTCACCTCACTACCTTTGTACTTGATGTAGTGATGTGAGGTGTGTTGGCAACTCGGACCGTAACGTAGTAATGCCTGTTCCCGTGTTGATATTGATGATGATGATGACCATGCGGAGAAAAAATTTTGCAGGGTAATTTTGAAATGAAGGCCAAGGTTGACCATTAGCCAAAATCCAATACTGTTAGATTTATCGTAATTGACAGAACTTAATACATATACCTTAGTAGCGTATGAACGATTACGTAATAATCGATAAGCTGCAGGTGGTAGACAACCACCATCGTCTATTGGAAAACGTGTAAATGATGAACCGACCGATAGCTGCTACCTTGACGTGGTGGTCGGGCTTGCATATCACAATGACCCAACGAGCTATGCTGGTGGAACGCTTGTTCCCTCGAGGTCCTACCATACCAGAAAGGTCTGTTGGGTAGTGGTTAGACGAAAAGCAGTTACCGTCATAGTGTAAATTGCTATACTATGATGGGGGTCTGAGGGCGAAGTCGTACTGCTGCTAGCTGGATGGGGTGTGACAGCAGTAAGGTGTTTCCCTTGGATGACCAGCAGTGCCAAGCTGATGCTGCCTTCTCAGTGGAAGGGGGGGTTAGAAAAGGTCGGCCCCAAAAATAACACACTCCACCACGCCCCACGGTCTGCCGGGCCGGCGGTGTTGGTTCACTTGTCGTTTCCTTTCGCTCATCCGGCCCCAAAAATACAAAAATTCAAAATAATCATACTCAAAAGGCTGGGTGTGACAGGCCTCAAGCAGATGTCCGATGGGCTCTGCGGTCACACAAATCTCTTTCAGGTACCTTAAGAAGAAATAGCCTTCCACGGTGTGGGCAGCCGGGAAGTGTCAACCGCCCTCACAACTCTGTCAGCACCCAAGTTTCTTCTGACTGCTATCCTCCTCCTCCATCATTACCTTCTAATCTTCCTTCACGTCTCTTAATTAATGATGCTGCATCATCTTCAATTTCTCCTACCTCTGCAGCCTTCGACAACGATCTGAGTCCACAGAACAGTGTCCCTGGTCTCCTTAAACCACGCTCCAAATTACATATTGGAGCCTTCAATGTCCGCACCCTCCGTCAAATTGGCCAACAGGCTTCGTTGGCAAAGACTCTAGCAACTCGAGGCATGGATGTGTGCTGTGTTTGTGAGACACGCATACAGGACCCAAGTGTGGTTATTCACCTGACCTCTCCTGACCAATCTGGTGAATCTGCAAAATTCACCCTTCGAGTTTCTGGAGATTCGATAGCTAGCTCTCGTGGTCTTGCAGGTGTAGGTATAGCATTAAGCACCAGGGCAGAAAACTCACTACTAGACTGGATCCCAGTTGATAGTCGCCTCTGCGCTATGAGGCTGAACGGCACAGTGAGAACTAAAAGGAATAGTGAGACTCGCCGTTGTCTCTTTGTAATCTCTGCTTACGCACCCACTGACTGTAGTTCGGATGAAGTGAAGGACGAGTTCTACCATAAACTGTCTAACCTCCTCTCGAAAGCCAAACGTTCGGACGTAGTGGTTGTTGCAGGTGACCTCAACGCACAGGTGGGTAGACTGAGTGAGGCAGAAAGGCACTTAGGTGGCACTTTCGGAATCCCAGCTGAACGTACAGATAACGGTGATCGCCTATTACAACTATGCTCAGATAACCGCCTATTTTTAGCCAGCACAAATTTCAGACATAAAGAAAGGCACTGTCTGACCTGGCGTCCACCGAGCTCGACTCAGCGATGGACACAGATAGACCACATTGCTATTAGTCATCGCTGGAGAGGATCGGTGGAAGACTGCCGCTCCTTCTGGAGTACGTGTTTGGACAGCGATCATGCGTTGGTCCGAGCACGTATATGCCTGCGTCTCAATGGACGTAGAAAAAATTTGGCAACAAAACCACTACGAGTTCTGCTGGACAACGAAAACACCAAAGCCGTGTTCAGTGAGAAGTTGGCTAGGCAGTTATCGGAACAAAAGACTGTCACTCATCCAGAAGAAGCTTGGTGCCATCTTCAGTCTACTGTAAAAGCAGCACTGGAGACTGTAGCCGACTCCAAGATAATGGCTAAAAAGAGCCAGTGGATATCAGCAGCTTCTTCCAAACTAATGGATGCACGTGAATGCATCCCTGCAGGCTCTGAGTACAATGAAGAGCGAGCGCAACTTAAAAATAAACTGACGAAAAGTCTGCGCAACGATCGTGAACAGTGGTGGGCAGCAAAGGCTAAAGAGATGGAAAAGGCAGCGGCGATCGGTAACAGTAGACAGTTATTTAGACTTATTAAGGAGACTGGGGGGAA